ATATATAAATATATTGGCGATACAAATATAATGTTTAATGTGCGCTAAGCATATTTTTTTCCGTGATGCGCATTATTTGCAAATGTACAATATTGTTATCGTTAAGTGTTCTTTGATATGGAGGTGAGTATTATCTTTCGTCTTTTTATGGCCACGTCAGCACTTGACGTATTCTTTGTGTGTATGATATAGAACTTTATAATGGCAGCTGGAGTTTTTTTCTAGTCTTAGCATTGATCTCCCCTTTTCATTCAATTTGGTTTTGAGTTACCCACCTCTACTGTTTTTCCCTTGATATGACTATAATAATTCCTTCTTTTATGTTTTTGCTTGTCATAAATGTTCCGGAGTAGGACGTAACTTTGCGATCTGGTTCTACTAGTCGTATGTCCCCATCCACTCTAATTATATAATACTGGAAGCGGGCTGTTTTGACTTATCCGGCTGAGTGGCCTACATCATCCATGCAGACAGACAATTTTTCTCTTGCGAGAATCGAAGTCACGCCTTCGGCGTTCGAAAATAAATGTGGGTTCTTTATGCCTCCATCGAGACAACTGAGATAATTTAGGAGGTGGGCTTCCTGTGCTTCCTTCGACGTGCTGTAGGACGAGTCTAACCATCACGTTAAAAAAGCCGAGCACAGAAAAAAAACAACCCAGCAGGCAGATTGTGGGGGCAAAGTTGGTTTATAATGACGAGGAGTAAATCTCTACCATACACCTCCATCACATAAGACACTGACATAAGACACTGACACTAGCTGGGTGTAAGCATAGACAATACACTACAAGATGGTCCACTCTCTTTAAATTAATGCTTTGACACAGATGTTGTCACCTGCGCTGACAAAAATGTTTTTGCTTCATTTCTCAAGCTGCAATTCATCTTTTGGAAGGATCTTGTTCCTTTTTTCAAACAAAAGAAACACCACACTATGAAATATAAAGATATTGATTATTCAGGTTTGGAGCGCATTTCTAATAATAATATTCAAATAGAGGAGTGAACTATCTTGAAATATTCAACCTTTGACGGAGGTCGTTTTGGGGAGGGGTATGGATTCAGAAGTCAATTAATGTTATCTTCAAGTTTTGGAGTACCATTTTGTGTTGCAGAACTGCTTCCTTCCACGGGCTCATGGGATTAAAGTTAAATGATATAAAACGTTTATATGACAGTCTGAGTTATCTTTTATACTTAAGTAAAATTTCTAAGTAGACTATTCTTTGTGGTATTTTGATTCTTGGTATCACGTACCATACGTCTATGTCTATGCAGATTATTGAGGTGTAGCAGAAATCCCAATCCAGAAATCTAACAGTTGGCAAACAGAGGAGAAAACTTCTCAGAATATAGAACAAAAATGCGTAAAAAACAGACTGGGATGCGCACCGCTACAAGGTGAGTGACGTTTTCTTATGAAAGTAGGCCTACGTTTAGTTATTTGTTCGTGTGTATCTGAAGTACATGGAGAGGGCTGAGATGGAAGGGCACTGCTAACTGTTTATTTATTTATTTATTTATTTATTTATTTATTTATTTATTTATTATTCGTTTATTCATTTACGTATTCAGTTTTTCACACATTCATTTATTATTAAAAGTTATTTATGACTATGAAGTTATTGTGTAAGAGGTGAAAAAGAACGTGAGGTTCTGAGCATCATGATGAGACGGTGGTGGTAGCGGTTGAGGTGGTGGTGGAAGGGATGATGATGATGATGATGATGATGATGATGATGATGATGATGATGATGATGATTACAGGGCGACCTCTAGCACAGATCTACCAGACCAACCAGAGCTGGGAGGGACTCTCTTCCTCTTCTCAGACCCCGAACAGAACGTCCCTCGTCCTAAGCGCTGGTGGCAAAACTTGAGCGAGAAATGTTGCAACTTATCATCCTTGTGTAAAAAGATCGACCCAGAGGACAAGCGAAAGGCTTTGGTAACAAAGAATGGTGGATACAGGTTTGTTGACTAGGGTAAATTAAGAAAGTTGTGTTGTTTTGGTTGGATGTTATTCAGCATCAGAAGTCACAAAAACTACTAGCTCTTTCTAAAACATAATGTCCAATGACTTTGTGGTATATCAATCAAAGCTTTTTGTTTTTACAAAGTAGAATCATTCTGTAAACCTTATCGTGCTGTGCAATTGCTATACATAGCCCTTTTATTTTCACAGCATCATAACTGAAGCTTATCATGTGACAACAGAAATATAATTTTTAGAGTGAGTGGTTGGCGGGTGCTCTGTTGTTGTTTGCTCCTTCGTTCCTATTGAACATCTATCTTCCTTATTTACAGTCCTTCGTTTTAATGTATTTGTTACTCTCTTATAACACCTCTAATCTTCGGCACTTATACGACCTTATTGCATCTCAAGTACCTTAAAACTCTTACTAAAACTTTAAAAATTAGTTTTTAGTCCAACCCGGTTCTCTTGTGTGACTAACAGGGTATACGCAGCCGGGCTCAGTGAACACAAGAGGAAATACCTGGCGGACTTATACATCACCCTTATTGACCTAGAATGGCGTTACGCTTTGGCCATCCTCTTCAACGTCTTCCTTGTAACGTTCATGGTTAGTATCACTCTACTTTTTATTCTTCCATTGTTTTCTCTCTGCAAATATTTACATTGAACCGTCGTATTTTATTTATGAAGCTAATGCTAAGAAACTACAGCAATGAGGGAGTTATGTTCCTGAACACATGTTATAATAACCCACATTGTATTGCTAAGTGTTCAAACACTTGAAGTTCACGTTCTTATTCCATCATTTTCTATTTTCTACCGTCCTCTGTAAAAATTTTAAAATAAAAATAAAATAAACATTTTGTTGTAAACAAAAATAATCTTTTCAAAATAAACCCAACAATATTACGGAAAGTTGACAACCGTACTCTTTAATAGAAGACGTAGCAAAACACTCAGTAACATTTCGATCCCAGTATCAGCAATTCAGACAAGGAAACCTTTCGACGAGAAAGAAAGAATTGAAATATTTGAAATCAAAGAGAAACGACTAAATAAAAGATAAATCATGACATCAGTCGGAAATCAAAATAAAATAATGGCCCCAACTGTTCCCGTGCAAAGGTATTCTCCGTGTTCTGGTGGCTCATGGCCTTCAACAACGGTGACTTTGACAACCTGGACAACCCAAACCACGAGTTCTGTTTGCTGGGGGTCAAGTCCTACCCAGGGGCCATTCTCTTCTCCATCGAGACTCAAACCACGATCGGCTACGGCATGGCATACCCCAATGCTGACTGTGCGGGCACCCTGCCTTTGGTCTATCTACAGGTGTGTGTTGGGGTAGATGTTTTGGTGTTTTTGTCTGAGTGCGCTCATGTGGGGGTGTGTGGACGTTTGTGTAGATGTGTGTGTGTGTGTGTGTGTG